CACTTCAAGCTGATTTAGCTAAAGAACGTGCACGACAAGAAGAACAAAATGCTAATGAACGTTTAAAACAACAGAGATTAGTAAGCAATTATTTTATTGTTTTTATATAATTTACATCTAATGTCATTTTAATTATAGCAACAACAAGAAGAATCTAAAGCTCGGCTACCAGAAGAACCGAGTGACACAGAAAAAAATATTACACGATTAAAAATTCGTTTACCTAATGATGAAGGTGTACTTATGAGACGTTTTCGTATTAATGATACTCTTCAAGTATGTTTTCTGATATATATATATATATAAAGTACAACATTTGTGGTTTGTTGTGAAATACGATCTAAAATAAGAGAGGATTAAGTGAAAGGATAGTCAAGTAATGTGCCCCAAAATAGATCGACTAAAATAATTTCCATGTGATTAGTCAGTGTAGCTGAATTGTGTTTCACATTATAATTTTGCAAGGATTGCACATCTTTTTTAAAACACAAAAATAAGCTGGTGAAAAAACTCGAACAACAACGTATTTTTTTTTTCTATCTTCTATATTAAACAATCAGCTCAAATCCAGATAGCAACTTCAATAGCCAATAGACTTCTCTATTTAATGCATTCTATAGCAAGATTTCAAAAAGATTGGATATGAAGATTTTCATTATTTATGATCTTCTTGTAAAAAGTTAAAGTATTAAGAAAACAAAATTTATCTAATAGCCAGTTAAACACCGCTTGTTTCTGATTTTTCTGATAATTATAAGTTGTAACGAGAAGATCATAGGAAATACGGCGATCCACCATTTTATGCTCTGTGAAATGACATTGTTACAAAATAATTTTTGAGGCCTGAAAATCGTTGTGTTCGATCTTTTGGAAATCTTGCCATAGAATACATTAGATAGAAAACTCCATTGACTATTAAAAGTACACTCTGTGTTTTGTGGCTACTTGTTTAATATGATAGAAAAAACATCAAAAATGTGTTGTCGTTAAACTTGTCTTTCCACTACGTTATATTATCTGATAAAAGAATAATTTCTTTTCATAAAACTTCTTAAAAGACTTTGTACACGAAATAAATTTTACTTTCATTGTTATAGAAGGTAATTAGATTCAAAAACTCTACTACATTAAAATAAGAAAATCTTTATGGAGCTAATGAGATGTATAATTCAAAAAAAAAAAACTATCATTAAAAAATTCTGAACTTTGAATGTCTTTGTAATTGATTTTTACGGTTGATATTTAGGTGTGCGGCAGTTTACAGTTCAATGATTCGGAAGACCTGAATCAAACTATTGATGATTAACTCTTTTCTATATGAGCGTGGTTCATTGACTAGTTCTTTTCGCATGAGTCGTTCTGATGGACGACTTCTTTTGGTGCGAACTAGATTATTAAGTAATCAATTAATCGTATTTAATTTGTTTGTGAAAGCTCTATTTTAGGCTGCATAGGCTGATTTCGAAATATGAACTGACACAAATATTCTGAAAAGGATGAAATCAAGTTGATATGAAAAGAGTTCGATGGTCGATACTAGCCTAATTCATCACTCTGAAGCTATCACATAGTTATTGATAATTGAAATATCGAATACTCTATAGCTTTGTATTGTCTGAAAAAGATATCTGTATAGTTCTGATGCAAATTATGATTATCAAAATGTCCATGCTTTGACATAAACATGTTTATTCGTTAAAATTTCTAATGAGTTAGAGAAATAAGAAGTCACCGACAAATAAGATATCATATTCATTATGAACAATAGTAAATCAGTTTAAGGGTTATTTCAAATCTATGTTAAAATATTTTCATTAAGATATATTTTACATAAGAAAATGATTGACTTGTTTTTCTTTACTTAGGTATTATTCGATTATCTCACAACTCAAGGACGTATGTTTGGTGAATACAAACTTTTAACAACTTATCCTAAACGAGATGTAACATTATTTAATTAAGAATTGTTTTTTTTAATATCACATTTTTCTTTGTTTTGTTTTTCTCTACAGCTAACCACACTAAATCAATCAGATACATTTGAGCAATTAAAATTATATCCACAAGAACAACTTATTCTCGAATCTTTGTAATATATTCATCAATATTGTGCACAAAAATGAACTTATTTATTCGGTTTTCTTCTCTCACCCGATGGTACAAAAGAATTCAAAATCGAAATTATCTTTTGTCCCAAAAATGTGTTTATTGCAATTTTTTTCAACTGTTAAATTTTCTTTTTTTCTTTTGGTTTTTCGTTCTTCTAAATGATGACATTTTATTTCTGCATAGCAAGGAGAAGTTATGATTTTAATTCAGACATACTATTTATAAACGAAAAATTCAGCAAACAATCTAAACAATTTTATAATCTCTCAGGTATAGATCTTCGTTCATATTTCAAAATGTATTGAACAATGGCAGAATTTATTGTTTTATAATACAGAATCGCTGATGAAACATGACAATAACTCAAAGTCAACATTTTTTTTGCATATATTTGACATACACACACTTCAAATTGTGTTCATATCACATGATTTTCTGTCTATAGGAAATTGCTTGAATGTTTGCACGAGGTATGCGCTCATTCAAAGGAATTCATACGCTGAACTCATGATAACCATACGACTTAATATACTTGAAACAATCAACTGAAATAAAGTAATCAAAGCTTTTCTACTCAAGATAAAATAAGACTCCTTGCTATTGAGTATGTCTGGATCTACTCATTCGTATAGATTCCCTTTTTAGTTTTTCTGTTACAGACTTTATTATTGAAGCTGTAAATTTTTATGAACCAAATCATTTTGAATACAAGACTTACGAATCATCCTTACAAGAGATTGAACAAGAATTCAAGTACGTAAATAAGAGTGTTCAATGATGGAATAAGAAGTCGTAGCAGCTGAATTTGAAAAACAACATTAAGTTTTGCTTTAAGATGCGCCCATACTGTACGACTTTCTTGCTCAAGATACTCAAGAACTTCATGAGTATGAAGAAAGAAGTTTGACTAGATATAGTTAAAACTATCAATTGGAATAACATAACCACATATTATATGTTCAAGATAAAATAATGCTATTTGCCTTTAATCTTTCACCGACCATAAAGATTTCAGAAGAATCACTGATGAAACAACTATTGGATGTAGAATATCGACATTTTCGGTAGACTAATAGTAGAACAGATCGATCAGGTGGATGTCCGTATGTATAGGATTATTGGATAGCTTCAGTTGCATGGGGGTGGGAATAGAGACATAGATAATTCTATTTTTTTAATTCAACAAAATGAATAAATAAAAACAAACGATTGTCTATTTATATAACCTCTGTTATTCTTGAAGTAACAATTTTTCAGTTTCGAATATGATAAGATCTAAGAGACATTTCACGAATAAACATCGGGATCAATTGATTTTGGATTTTATCCTCTAGGTATTTCAGATCTTATCTATAAAACTAAGCAAAAACCAATATCAACACACGAATGAGGTCAAGGATGATGATGAGAGTCAGAAAGAAGGTTTTGAATGAGAGTGCCGCGGATAGCCTTGGTAAGGGTGAAGAATTTCTTAGTAAGGATGAATTTTTGAGTAAGTCTAAGGCGTTACGCGATTATCTCCTCTAATTTCACTCGCAACATCGAGATACAGACCCAGACCTCCTCACTCTTACTCAGATCTGTCTCTCGTCTTCACCATCATTTTTGATTCCACTCGTATTCGTATTGCTGTTTTTCTTTCTCAGTTTTACAGTTCATGAAAATAAAATTCTGATTTTGTCTGGTCAAAATTAGAATTCCAATTTGGTCTGGACAAATTTAGAATTTGACCGAATTCTAATTTTGACGGTAACGTATATATATATATATATATATATATGCCTCCTATACCTCCTACAAAAGGTTCACCGGCATTTAATCCAGTTTCCGGGAATATCGTTTGAACGCATCACATCCGAGCAATGTAGTTTCAGTCCTGTCGGGACCCGGACCAACTTATTCCTCGGCTGAAACCAATTTTTTTTCTAACCGAAATCCGAATCAATTTGTTTTCTCATAGCCTGATGCACCTTTGGATCTGTAACAAAACGTTTAATACATTCCTTGTGAAGAATTCAACGGAGAAAATTTTCGTAAAACCTCAGCCCCGTGAAGTTCAAGAAAAAGAAAAAGTTTTGACAATACCAACATTATAATTCTTTATGCTCCACCCATTAAAAAAATGCTTTAAGGTCGAAATTTCTTCTGGTAATACTGATACTACTTGATCTTCTTTTAAAGCATATCGCAACGAAACAGCTATAAATATGCACCAGTTCATAGCAGTAAATCATTATCCTAGAAACGTCGATTGTTAACTAATCAATAGGATAGGAAAGTCAAATGCAAACTCAAGTTTCTGCATTTTTTAATGCAATATCTATAAATTTAATTTATTAGCATGAATAATTTTTATATGATCAGATTGTATTCGGACTAACGATACTTTTATTCAAGTAAATGAGAAGATAGAGTTTATTTGTATTAAAATGTAACATTTGTGTCTCCGAAAGAGTTATAATGGAAAAGTTACATGCCTTAAAGATGGGTGTGTGTATGGATTAGTCAAGTCTGAATAAAAGCACACACACTCTTCAAGTAAATATAGTTGTCAATTAACACATAATAATTTGTGAGGACCATGTTAGCAAAAATCTGCATTTTATAGTCAAAAAAAATGTTTGTCTGAAATGTATGATGTTTATTGGCAGCACTGTTTACCGCCAATTTAACGCATGCCAATCTGCCACCATTAGAAAAAATAGTATCACAAAACAGCTAATGTTTTCACAACTTATTTTGAAATATTTTATGGAACTTACATTTTTGAAGAAAATAGTGAGTTTAAGTTTTAAGTGGAATTTTTCATTTTTTCTTCCATCAATGATTTAAGCAACAAGTTTTAAATGTCTTTTAGTATTCTACCTTATGTGGAATATGTAAGTCCCACATTTTAGCCCTAGAAGACTGAAAGATATGCCACTTTGACAATCTGATCCTGCCTTTTTCTGTGGACAATTTTCTTTCTCTGTACTTCTGAAGTATAGAAGTACACTTTTCCCCCTTTGACAATGTATCATCAATCTAAAGACATTAATTATCAGGTAGAAATACGAATTAATGTTCAATACAAACGTAAAACACGATCGAATATAACCATGATCTAAAGAGTATTTGGGGATAGCAAGACTGCAGAATATTTATTTTATTGAATTGAAGTATCTACAATCAATAAAATCGTGCAGAATTATTATCAATTCAATCTGACAGATCATTTTACTCATGTATAGATGAATGTATCGCTACAATTTCTTGAACTCTTCAAGAGAAAAATGAGTTCTTCTTTCGATAGATAATCTTCTTGAACACTATGTAAGCTAAGGCAAGAAATGAATAGTTGCAATTCAATAGAAGCGAATTCAAATGCATTTGAATGCTGCAATAAGCTGAAAGAGATCAAATTGTTCTATATGGATTACACTAGTTTTGATTCCACAAACCATCAACCATTTCATTTGTAGAAAAAAAAAAAAAAAACAACAACAGAACATTAGGCAATATGTCAGAATATATCAACAAGACTAAGCTTTTCTGCCAGGTGGCAACCATGGATTTAATAATTGATCTTCTATTTCATCTTCAGAATCTTCGTCCAGATCGCTGTTGAACAGACCACCTATGATAAAAAATAAATAAAAAAAGATGGATATTTTATTCTACTATAAAACAACAAATTAGTGCCATTGTTTAATATAAGATAATATATTTTTATTCTGTTGTATACTGATAATCAATGCAAAGAATGATTTTTTCGATGAGTAAACTCAGCCTTTATCATGAAATAAAATAGCAGAAAGGGATTCCAATCGACAGATAGGTCAAATTATTTAACACAAAGGATCTTTATGTAAGTATTGTCAATAAATGTCTTGGCTCTACCTGATTTTGTTGAACAGAAGAAAAAACTAGATTTATTTCAACCAAACGCTACAGTAAGACGAAGACTATATATAACATGAAAACAACATGAGTGTGAGTGATACCAGGTGAAAGTTCGTGTAAAGAGCATGCACACACACTTCTTCTGTTCAGCTTAAGTGCCTTATTAGTCATTGTGATAGTTTTGAAATCTATTTACTCAATGTCGAGTGTTTCTATATATATGATCGGATCAATTTTGAAGTCAATACTTATATGGAAAGTAAAGCGCCTATGGCTAATGCAACTACAGTGTGATATGCATGGAATCTCTCTAGTAATAAGCAATAATTATCATGTCACAAAAAACCTCAGACTTATAAACTATTTTAGATTTCTGATGCGATGATCGAACCATGCTGGAATCTTTCCTTTCGCTGTTTTAAGTTTTGAAAACTCTTTTTAATATGTTTCTATGAGGAACAAATTTTGTATCTGAAAAAATGGTTTCGCCTAAAACAAAGACAGACTTTTGAAAGTTGACGATACTACTGTGGTCTCAATTGCTGAGGAATTTCTTAACTAAAAATGTTATACTATATATTAGAGATGAGCGAAACCAATCATTTTTTTATTCCAGTCTCTGTTCTGCTCATAGTGAAAAAAATACCTTAGTCCCGTAGCCAGTCAGATATGGACACGTTTCAAGTTTTTTAAATGTTGAACCGAACATGGAACTGCAGCAGATGATGATACTCTAGTGTTTAGAAAATTAATCTGAACGTCTATTATTTTGCCATTAAGAATGAACAAAGAAGTCAAAGACTTATTTGTATCATTGATGATGTTTTGTCACTCGGCATCTTTTCGAATTGATTGATTTAGCTATACATGTATGTCACAGAAAAAATGATCAGTGTTAATCGTAACTTTTGACTGGAGATGAACAAGTCATGAAAAACATGCCTCAAGTCCAAATAAAGTCAAATGAACTCGAAATTGAATTAATTTCCCGGACAAGCAAGACCTTTAAAAGAACACGTGTAGACTCGTTAAGGTTTCGTAATAACGCTATTTAAACGAAATATTATCGTTAAAACGTTGTTATTACGAAACTGTAACTAGTTTCAACGCGTTTTTAAGGGTCTTGCCTGCCTGTGTAGTGTGAATGACATCACTTGAAATTGTTTCAGCACAACTTGTGAATGCGAATGTATGATTGTATCGTTAAGTACTGAAAAATCTATTCTATGAAATTGATTTTACAATCTAGACTCGCCGTATCAATCTTATTTTAGGTAATGCTTTGTCAGGAAAAGAAAATTTCTTATAATCGGGATCTACTAATAGATATGAGATATTTCAAATAATTATCAAAAACAAACAAAATAAAAAAATATTCCCTGTGATTTAAAATATTTTCTGCGATTTTGTAAATAATTCCACTCAAGCGTATTGTATGAACGAATCGACTTAATAATCAACAAACTAGCTGAAGGATATGATCAATAAAGAACTTGCGATGGACTCTTTTCGATTGGAAAATCATTAGTAAGCTATATTGCTGGATCAATAAAATTAACGATGAAAAGATTATCTATTCATGAGTATTCAAATCATTACAGTTACGATGAAATTAGAATAATCTCATTTCTCTTGTTTTAAAAGATTCCCGACTACAAGCAAGTTAAAACATACCAGTACTAGGTGATTCTAGTATTTGCCGAGAAATTTTTGTCGACGATGCTGTGTTGATTGGAGTTGAAAATCTTTTGCATGATGATGATGAAGTTGAAGATTCTTGTGGACTTGGTGGAAGTTCGATCTTCAACAAACGTAGTTGATCGAAATCTCGAAGAACGAAAAGCTTTTCGGGAACGTCAAATATTGCCCATAGAAAATCAACATTAATATCATAATTTATGGGTTCGAATGTTTTCATGTCATATTCTTGTAAATAAAGTTTTTCAATCTAAACGAACAAAAGAAGATTAAACAAACGCATAAATATGCAAAATATCAAAATAAATAAAGGCCGGACATAATAATTCACGTCTATATCCAATTGACGTTGGACTTAATCTTGATTCCATATAATCATCGAAAAGTTTCGTCGAGTTTTGAATGAAGGGTAAATCAAATCAGATATTCAGAATTTTTTTTAAGCTTTTATAAGTATTTTTGAAAAGTTACGGTCGGCATTCTGGAGATTTACGCGATCTCAGACATATTTGTAGGATGATCCTCTTAGGACTTTGAATTAAATACAATGTGCTAGTCCGAAAAAGTGTAAAACATGTCAGTCTTTTGCCTTTAAGATAATGATAGAGTAGATACAGAAGAAATGCTTTTAACAAGTTTAAAAAATGTTTACCAAGAGAAATTTTTACGAGCTCAATTCATACTAATTGTAAAGAAAATATAATACATGTAAAAGCTTTGAATTCATCAGAGCCAGGACAAGTACAAGTAAAGCAAGTAACAGCATTTCATTTGTACTTTAAAAAACCTACTTAAGGTTGTATTTGTCTTTGTACAAGTATGCTCGATCCTGTATTTGTACTTTGAAAAAAAGTACTTGTTACTTGTTACTTGTTACTTTTACTTAACAAATTACAAATAAAAATACATTTCTCCGATCTCTGGAACTCATTTAAATAGTATTTGACGATCAATCAGATTAACAGTAATTTAAGTTTGATTTATCGTCTTATATATTTTTACATGAGAAGTGATGTTCTCATCTTTCTCACTCTACCGAATGTTTTCATAAAAATAAAGCAGATATTTGTTAGTCAGCAATCTTCACCTAGCAATACGACATGGTTGTCATTGACGAAGTACTTATGACATGGAGCTATTTTTAGCTAGAAGAGAATTTTTAGTAGGAGATAAATCGGCTTCGGAAATATTCTTCATGCGTGCAATTATATTTCGTAAAACCTAGATAAACTACTAACACAGTCCATTATAATATATATGACTTCGCACAGTATACTAACTTGTTCTACCAAGAAAAAACAGTTATTCAAC